CTGTCTCATTACCTCCAAAACTGCTCCAGAACTGCTGAACGCTGCTGGAGAAAGTCTCACTTTGCATCTGACTTCCTCCACTATAAATTTATTCTGCGCTCCTACAGCCTGGCTCTTTCCACTGCAAAAGTAAATTACTTTAACTCCCTCATAAGTACACTGTCCCATCAACCCAAACACCTATTTCACACTTTTGATGCTCTTCTTCACCCTTACTCCCCCTCCTTCTACCACCTTGTCCGCCACAAACTTTGCATCTCACTTCACTACAATCAGAGAAGAGATTACTAATTTCGCTCCTTCCCCTACCAATACATCACCCAACCCCACCCACTCCACCATTCTACACTCATTCGCACCTGCTACAGCAGAAGAGGTTTCTGCTCTGCTCCGGTCCTCCCGCCCCACCACCTGTTCCCTCGATCCTATTCCCTCATATCTCATCCGCACTTTCTCTCCCTCTCTTGCTCTTCCTCTCACTAAAATTTTCAATCTCTCCCTTTCCTCTGGCACATTTCCCTCACCCTTCAAACATGCAATTGTTACCCCAATTCTGAAAAAGCCCAGCCTTGACCCCAACTCCCCATCCAACTACTGCCTTATATCATTATTGCCATTTGCCTCCAAGATCCTCAAGAGAGTTGTGTACACCAGACTGACTGACTTTTTCAAATCCAACTCTCTTGACCCCCTTCAGTCTGGATTCCGCGCTGGTCATTCTGTCGAAATCGCTGTGACCAAAGTATCCAATGATTTAATTGCTGCTAAATCTCGGCCCAATTACTCTATCCTAATTATTCTTGATCTTTCTGCTGCCTTTGACACTGTTGACCATCAACAGCTTCTTTGCATTCTCTGTAATTTTGGTCTATGGGATACTGCTCTCTCCTGATGATTCTCTTACCTCTCCCAGTGCTCTTTCAGTATTTCTTTCTCTCACTCTGCCTCTTCCTCCCAACCACTCTCTGTCGGCGTCTCCCAAGGTTCTGTCCTTGGTCCCCTACTGTTCTTTATCTATACTGCCTGCCTTGGTAAACTCATCAGCTCCTTTGGCTTCCGTTATTTCTATCCGGATGACATGCAAATCTACCTGTTCTCTCCTGATCTCTCTCCGCCCATCTTGACTCGTGTCTCTGACTGCCTCTATGCGATTTCAAACTAGATGGTTGCTCACTTCCTTAAACTCAACCTGTCCAAAGCAGAACTTCTGGTCTTTCCTCCCTCAAGTGTTGCTACTCTTGTGTCTGTCTGTCTACAAGTCAATGGCGCTACCATCACCTCTATCTCCCAGGCTTGCTGTCTGGGTGTTCTTTTTGACTCCAACCTCTCCTTCACCCCTTATGTCTAATCAATCACCAAATCCTGTCGCTTCCATCTCAAAAACGTCGCGTGTATCCGCCCCTATTTAACGCCGGATGCGGCTAAGGTGCTGGTCCATGCTGTTGTTCTCTCTCACCTTGACTACTGCAATCCCCTTCTCAGTGGTCTTACATGTTCCCAGATTGCACCACTACAATCTATAATTAATGCAGCAGCAAGGCTCATTTTCCTGTCCGCTCGCACCTCCCACACCTCCCCGCTCTGTCAGTCCCTGCATTGGCTTCTAGTTAGATATAGAAATAATTTTTAAATTCTGGTGCTTGCCTAAAAGTCCCTACACAATGCTGCTCCAACCTACCTATCCTCCCTAATACACAAGTATGTCCCGTCGAGGCCCCTGCGCTCTGCCAAAGACCTACCTCTAACCCCTGTCCGTACTCCTACCTCTGATGCTCACCTCCAAGATTTCTCCAGGGCTGCACCTCTTCTGTGGAACTCATTCCCTTCTCCGTAAGACTTTCACCCAGTGTCCACTCATTCTAAAAAAATCATTAAAAACTCACTTCTTCAAGAAAGCATATCAATGAAACTGTTAGCAGGTTTTTATCCCCCACCCCCAATGACTCCTCTCCTGCAACTGTCAAAAATTACCTACTAAGCACTTTTACCCTTTGTATACCCTACAGTGCCCACAGGAGAGAGAAGCAAGAAGCCATCTTGAAAGTAACACAGAGAGAGCACCGCAACAGCAGCTCCTGACCCCTGCCAAATGTAAGTGTATAATATTTTTTTCTCTCCCTTAATAGCCTTTATCTGCCTGGGGGCTGATTAAGCAGGGAAATGTACTTTTATATATATATATATATATATATATATAAATTATTTTTAAAAATACTGGCACGCGACCAGTATTTTCCTGGCCTTCCTCAATCTCCTGGCCTTCCGTCCGCCCTCTGGTAATTCATCAGCCGCCGCCGGGTCTCCAGACCCTCCCGGGTGTACCAACCACACTGGACAACACTTCAGGGCCCCAGCACCAAGGCTACCAATTAATCTCTGGACGTCACCATCCTATCTCCACCGATACCGATGTACTAGCAGAAATGCCTAGTGTGGCGGAACCAACCTCGCCACTATGCACTGGAGAAGCCTGGTTGCCAGCCTCCTGCCATGTGACTATGGCCCCTGGGATGTATTGCCCTTTAAAGACATGATTTGGGCATAATGGATTTGTGTTGTGCTGCTGCTGGCCCTTTTAAGAACCATCTGGGGACATACTGTGGAGTTACTGGGTGGCCACCATTTCCTGTATCAGAAGCACATGGTGAGAACAATGGATGGAGGCCATTTTAACTCACAGACACTGTGTGGACTTTTCAACACGGTGCCATCTCGCCAGTATTTGTTGCACAGAGACATCGTGCGGTGGTTTGGGACTATACAGCAGGGGACACATTATACAGTGATTGTTTTTTATTTAGCCTGTATATGTTCTGCAGAATCTGCATTAAACTGTATTTTCCAAAGTACTGAACGGATCTAGGTGAATTTTGGATATGTGGTTCACTTTTTATGGGGTTATTGCATGTTTTGGGGTCCCTGTGATGTGTTTTATGAAACTGTATTTCTCAGAGGGGAGGATTTTGTGTGGGAGTGTCTGTGTGTATTGTATGGATTGATTGGCTGTTTTGTAACGCCCTGTGGGCTGTACTATGTTTGTGGATTGGGAATAAAAGAGACTGTATGTGACAGTACAGGGAGTTCCTGTTTTAACCCTCAAAGTGAAGTGTCGTCTCATTATTGGGGGAAGGATTTATTGTATGCTGTTCCAGTTTGACTGCTAGGAGAGTATACACAAAAACAAAGAACAAGGCTGCGCCAAAAGAATGACTAAAACAAGTCCAGATAAAATAATAGAATGTTCTAATAAAAGCGTCCCAATAATAGATGATGTTTCAACTGATATGATGTCTTCCTTAGCAGTGGTCGTCCGTCTCACGATATGAAAGACACAATGGGAGAGAGCCAATTGTGCAGAGTGTATAAATAGATAATTTTAAAATATAATATAAATTACACACTCACATTTCCATGAGCTAGGACCAGCTCTAGTATGATGGGCATACGGCGGATAACCCTCCGCTTATAGGGGTGCTTGTCCTCCTAGTCCTCTTCTTTCTGCTAGGAGAGTAAACCTATTCGTATGGTTCCTATTCAACTGTCTACAGCATTCATATGCTTGAGAGGATTCATATGCTTCTCCGGTTCAGTGGTTGTGGTGTCTGCTGCAGTGCTTGGAGTCCTCAGGAAGCGCTAGGAGCATCCTTTAACGGAGGTACCCAGTCGGGGTGCCAGGCGATCCGTTACACCTAGTTTTAGGCAGCTTCTCAAACACTTTTTCTTTCTCTTTTTCTTTTTTTTTGGCTAGCCAGCCAGCCAGCCAGCCAGGAAAGATAGGATCCCCACACTTTTCCTTATAAACTGGTGAGTCCCCTCCCTCCTTACACATTTGTATCCCTTCTCTCAACTAGCAACAAATGAATCCATTTTGGTCCCAACCCCTTAACTTGGGCATCAGTCAGGTCCTCCGTTCCTTGTCAGTCCAGGGAGGTACCAGAACACACAAAAAATGACAGTTGGAAGCAGACAGATTTAATAAAAAGAAAAAACACCAAAATGGGGCAACACTGCCGTTGACACTTTGATAAATCTCCCCCATTATTAGAGATTGAAAATGTATAGAAGGTTTTTCTTTTTTTTTCTTGTAGATTTAGGTGGTAGTAATGTAAATGTCCTGCAAAATTAAGTTGTTTTGGCTGATTTAGTCAATACTAAAATTATTGCATGTCTTTCTCTCAAAATAAGGAAAAAAACCTACAGAGAAAATGTTGCATTGCCTCTGGTACTGAACAGGTTTCCTCCTTTGGGACACGGTTGAAGAATATTAATTTGGGAATTTGTGTATTTTCTAAGTGTCATCAGAACAGAGAGTGTCAGGGCTAGAGAGCAATAGGAGGAAATGGAACAATATCTGAAAATGAGATGGTAAAGTAAATGTGAGCGATGTGGTGTGGGATGGGATCATCCATGTGGCAATAACACTTAAAATGTATAGGTAAAGTTGACATTTTAACTCTTCCTTTTATAGTGTACTGAAAAAGCAGGACTTTGCTCAGACTCCTCTTATTGTAGAGATTCAATGAGGTTAAATGCTAATAGATTTTGACTCATTAAAGGGGGTGGGGGAAAATTCTAATGATGCCTTTTCACTTCAGTCCTTTTCTTAGCTTGTAACACAGCCCGGGGAAATCATTAGACACAAATTCGTGTAAACGAAGCTTATGGAGCGAAATAACATTCATAATTATGGGACAGATCTTTGGTAAGATGCTGGGGAAGTAATGAAGTGTTACATTAACTATTTGCTGTCTGTGATAGATAATATTTTGGTAACTGAGGTATCATGAACCTTCCAAGGGTTTTAATTATATCAAATGTTGCCTACAACCATGGACTGAGCATAAACTTTGTCCCGGTGATATTCGGGTAGTCGAGCAATGATGCCTTACATACTTCTCCAAACCAACTTAGAGTATCTTGAAAAATATGGATATACATAATAATTTTTCTCTATGACAGGCAAACAATAGGGAACTCTAAAATTATTAAATGGACACTCTGGGAAACTTAGCCACTTTTGTTTTTTTACTGTGCTAGAGTAATGTACTTGAAGTATTTAATTTAAATAATTTGTCAAGAGAAAATAGGGCTTTAAGTGAAGCTGTGCCAACAACCCTGTCAGTCAGATAGCCCAGAATTACATTTCCCTTCTGTCACACCTGCTCATACCAATGAGATGGTATGTCAGTTGCTAGGTGCACACCCATAATCCATCATACCAGAGTCAGGGCAGTCTTTGGACCAGCAAGCAACCACTTCTTTGGAGCAGTGCCTGCAAGTCCATCTGCCACCGCATGCTATGCTTGTTTAGAGCCAGGATGTGTAATTCTCATCCCTCTGACTGACATGGCTTGTAGACAGAGCTCTAAGCTTTTCTTTAGTTTTCTTGAAAGAAAGACTATGGGACAGTACTTTAGCATCACAAACACATCAATGGATGTACTCACTTTTTAACAAGGAACTGTCACTTCTCAGGATTTTTAATATTATGTTTACTTATCCCTATATTTAACAAATATGTACTTGCGAGTTGTGAAAAAAGCTTCAACCAATCGTTGCCTTCAACTTTGTCCTTTGTACCTGGCAGTCTGCACAGATAATGCATATCGAGAATAGGAGAGATGAAAAAATATTTGTATTTCTCCTCTTCATTAGCAATATTTGCCCTGGCTCATTGGTGGTATATAGAAGTTAAAGTATTCCTAACATTTGCATTCCTTTGACCTTCCCTATGTGAAGACTAAAGCGTGATTTTATTAAAGACACGGAGGCTCATATTATGCATAACTCTTTCTTTATTTCCTCAGCAGCAAAGATAGAGGAATATAAATATATCAAAAATGAAAGAAAAAACTGTATAGATACACAGGCAACCAATCACATAACAGAGGAAGTGACTATATAAAGCCTGTGTCTCCCACAATCCCCCTCTTTCTTTGCTGCTTCCTCAGACAGCTAAGTACCTTGCTTGATCCACTGTATTTTATTTGGTGTACTTTGCATTTACTTGGTGTTATGCTGTACTGATGTTGTACTTTTATTATGGTTATGTGATATTTTTGCACTGTGCTTATTCTCACTTCTTTTGAGTGTGTGATATCCTACTCTGTTTTTCTTCTGTCAGCTGCCTGCTTGGTGCAGCTCCTATCCTGTCCCCTGCGCTGGTGCCTCCCTCCCCTCACCCCGCCCGCCGCGACCGCTCTGTCGGCCGGCGGGTGCTATTCAGTCCCAGGTCGGCTTTCAGCCGCGGCTCTCTCTGATACTGCCGCGGCTGTGCTCTGTTTCCCTTGATCGCGGGCTGCCCGCGCGGGTAGGGTGCGCGCGCCCCTTCCCCCGCCGGGGTCCTGACCGCGATCAATCTCCTGCACGTGCGGCGGCCATTTTGGGCGGTCCGTCGGCTGATCGGTCGCTCACTCTGCTGCTGCCGTGTGGCCTGTCTCCCCGGTCTGGGTCCCCTGTGTGCACCAGCGGGCAGGTTTCTTACTGTGTTCCTCTGTGGGTTACTCAACCCTTTTACCATCTAGTTTAGTTTATTCTAGCTACCTTCCGTTTTTGCTTATCTATATATTTCGATTTCTTAAAGTCATATTACTACAGTTTTAACTTGATTCACTTAAAGGTGTATTCCCCTGTGGTTTTCACCATGCAGGATAAGGAGGATGGGCCTGTTGGCACCCCTAGTGATTTTAATATTGATAACCCTGAGGGTGCCATGGCCTCCCAAGAATTTCAGGCCCTGTTGGATGCCACTATGGCTTCTTCATTACAAAAGGCTTTTGCTTCAGCCATGGGTGCTGTTTCTTCCTCCTTTTCTCAGTCCCTGCATTCCATGCTTATGCCCTCACTGCCTACCCCTACCCTCCAGGGTACTGGGTCCCCTTCCTCCGCCCAGACTGTGCCTGGTACCCGTAAGGTGAAGGCGAAGTCTAAGCACGTTGATTCCCACTCCTCGATGCAGGTGCTACCTGCCATGACTGACACACTGGATGTGGTCACAGACAGCGCGCACCCCACGCGCAAAAGAGCCCCTGGCCGGGCTAAAAAGGCTAGATTGTGGAAAAGGGCTAGAGCCCTAGATGATGAGTCGGATACCGACCGGAGTGTGGAACGTGACTCTGATATTATGGAGTATGACTCCTACGATGAGGGCGGGTCGGACGAGGAATTGCCCTCCGCGGAGCTTGCCCCCTCTGGGTCCTCTGCCGTTGCCCTAGGCCAAGTTAAGATCCCCCCTGGGGACAGTAAGGCCATTTTAGACCCCCAGGGAAACCCACTGTTCGACCCTGACGACCTGCGTCACCCACGGTCAGCAGAGTGGGTCCCCCCGGACCATATTGCGCAATATGTGGCTAAACGCCTGCGCACACCCCTCTCCAAGGAGGGTCGCAACAAGTTGCGTGCCGAATGCCCTAGGCCCTCTCTCCCGGGCTCGGCCTGTAAGACTCCGGATATTGACCCCCAAATCGCCCAGTTTCTGAATAAATCAGGCTGGAAGCCCAAGAAGGGTTTGGATTACTCCCTCAAGGGATGCCAAGATAAGATATTGGATACCCTGGGCCCTCTGTCTAAGCTGTACGAGCTGCTAGATGCCGCTAGGGCTGGAGACTCGGTTATGGATGTCGATGTGGCCATTGGATGGGTCCAGAGGGCGATCTGCCTCTTGGGGAATGCAAATACCGCCATGTCTTCTGAGAGGCGTAAGGCGATTCTCCTTAAAATCGATCCCAAATTGGCTGCCATGACGGTGGCGGAACCTGACCCCTCTGACGAGGGTTTACTGTTTGGAACCTCTTTCGTGAAGGACCTTGGTTCCTATGTAAAGACCTTTATGGCCATTGACAAGGCCCAGGCGAATATGAAGCGCATGTTTGCGCCCAAGGTTTTCGGAGGGGCCGGGCGTAGCAGGAACCGTCCACCCGGCCGGGGCTTCCGTGGCTCGTTCAGGGCCTCCAGAGGTTCCTTCTTTCCTTCCCGAGGATTTCAAGATACGAGGTCGCCTCCTTTCTTCCCAGCCAGAGGGAGATCCTGGGGCTCCAGGTATCCCCGTGGTGCCGCTTCGGGCAGACGCCCTTATGGTGAGTACCCATTTTTCCCCTCTCGATCATGTACGGGTGGCAGGGAGGCTTGCCTTATTCTACCATGGGTGGACAAATATAACCTCAGATGCTTGGGTTCTGCATTGTGTAAAGGGTTATCACCTGGAGTTCGTTTCTATGCCTGTCCAGGTTCGCGTCCCCAGAGAGTTGTCCCTCCCACAGGATCAGGACGTCATGATTTCCAAGGAGGTAGAGGAGATGCTCACGAAAGGTGCCATAGAAGAGATGCCGTTGGCCTCTCCGGGCTTCACGAGCAATCTTTTTCTGGTGCCAAGGAAAGGGGACGGGGTTCGTCCCGTGATAAATCTTCGTCCCCTCAACGCATTTCTCCGCTACCAACATTTCCAGATGGAGGGTATACACTGCCTCAGAGACCTCCTTCGGCAATCAGATTGGTTGGCCAAGTTGGATCTGAAGGACGCATACTTTACAGTCCCCATCGCGCTGGACTGCAGGGATTACCTCCACTTCACGTGGCACGGTCGACGCTGGCGCTTCACGTGCCTGCCGTTCGGTCTCTCGTCGGCCCCTTGGTGTTTCACCAAACTCATGAAGCCAGTAATGGCTTACCTTCGTACCCGTGGGGTGCGACTGATCGTTTACCTGGACGACATATTGATCATGTCCCAATCCAGGGAATCTCTGCTGTTACATTTGGGTTGGACAACCAACCTTCTCCAAGATTTGGGTTTTCTGATCAACTGGGACAAGTCGGTCATGATCCCTACCCAGTCTATAGAATTCTTGGGTTTCCAAGTGGACTCCATCAGGCAATTCCTGTACTTGCCGGAGTCCAAGATGAAGGCCATTCAGAAGGAGCTCCGAAGGGCTCTTCGGGTGCCGGATATGTCCGTCAGGCAACTGGCAAGGATTATCGGCCTTCTGGCGGCTTCGATTCAGGCGATCTTTCCGGGCCCGCTACACTATCGTGCCCTCCAACGACTCAAGGGTTCACACCTGCGTTCGGGCCACTCCTACGAGTCCCGAATACGGCTGGACGACGAGTCCAGAGACGAGTTGGTATGGTGGTTGGCACACATGGAGGCCTGGAACGGACGGGCCATCTTCGGCTCGATCCCGGATGTCGTGATAGAATCCGATGCCAGCTTACACGGCTGGGGTGCTCGTTGTGGAGACGTTTCCAACGGAGGCAGATGGTCCGACATAGAGAGGTCCCTACACATCAATTGTCTGGAACTGCTGGCGGGGGCCTTCGCGATACGCAGTCTGACCCCAGGCCGGGCAGACTGTTGCGTGCTCCTCAAGATGGACAATGTGTCGGCAGTCCGGTACATAAATCATCTTGGGGGCACCAAGTCCAGAATGTTGGCGCTATTGGCGAAGGATTTCTGGCAATTTTGTCTCCTCAACAACGTCTCGGTGCAGGCGGAACACATCCCAGGCCTGGACAATTCGGGAGCGGATTGGAATTCCAGGCACTTAAGAGACTCGGGAGATTGGCACTTGCACGTTTCGGTTTTCCGAGGTCTGGACAGTCTCTGGGGACGCTTCGAGTTGGACCTGTTCGCTTCACGTCTGAACACTCAACTCCCTGCGTTTTACAGCTGGAGGCCAGACCCGGCAGCAGTAGCGACGGACGCCTTTCTCCAAGACTGGCCTCCGGGACGCCTGTATGCCTTCCCACCGTTCAACATGATCGCTCGCACGATATCGAAGTTGATCCGGCACGATTGCTGCCTGGTACTGATCACACCTCTTTGGAGGTCCCGTCCATGGTTCCCACGCTTGATGGAGTTGTTGATAGACTACCCCAGACTGATTCCGAGCTTCCAGGATCTCCTCCTGGATCCGGATGGGAACTCGCACGGACTGGTGCTCCGACACCAGCTACCTCTGATGGCGTGGCTCCTTTCAGGGGTACCTGGGTTGTCCCGAACGTTTCGCGGACGACTCTACAACTCCTCGATAACGCCTGGGCTCCAGGTACGCGATCGGCCTACCGCTCTTCATGGGGCTCATGGTCTGGTTGGTGCATGGAACGGGCAGTGGATCCCGTATCTGCCCCTCTCCATCTGATTTTGGAGTACCTCACTTTTCTGTTTGATTCGGGCAAGGCGTATCGAACTATCAACCTTTTTCGTTCCGCTATATCA